TCAACCCGTGTCATTTTTTGCCGCTTCCGCTGTGACAATGTGTTGGTCAAGGAGGGACGCTTAAAGCCAAATCCGGCCGGCTCCCATCGCTGCCATCTTGGCCGTGCCACATGTCTTGTCAGGCCCAGAAAATCCAAAAATGGGAAAAGAGGTGGAGCTGAGCATCGAGCTGTGAGCTCATGCTCCGCTCCTCCGCCACGGTTGGAGATCAGCGGGAGATTAGCTACATGCTAACTCGAAGCTAGCAGAGGTTTTGGGATGCTTTTAGGAAGAGAAACATGGTTGAGCGACTCCAGAGTGAAGTAACATCAATTCAAAGAGATGGGATGTTTCTGTAATCTCCCCCAGAGAGCTCTACAGGTGACCAGGACGACTACAGCCTCTCAATGAAGCCAGGCAGCCGCCCGTCCCAGCCCAGGAGATGGTAGCAGGGCTGGGAACACCCAGCGCCGTTACCCCACTTCTGCATTTTATTTTCATTTAAAAGAGATAATAGAGTTTTAAAACGAAGCCGTGAGGTGAAGTTTGTTTAAATTGTTTATTTTAATTTTTTTTTACTGTTTTAGGACTTTCAGCCTTTTGACACGTAGGATGAATATTTATTTAGAAGAACAAAGGTTATGAAAGTAGTGAAATTGCTTGTTGTTTTGACGAACGAGCACCAGGCAAACACACGAAGCAGGATCAGGATTCTCACAGGGGCCGTCTGTGCTTTTCATCTCATTTATCACCAAACTGTTTCGGCTTTTCCAGCCTTTTGCTCAGGTGAAGCCGACTGGAAGAATTCTCCAGCCCTGTCAGTATTTCGCTCCGGCAGTTGCTAAGATACTGATGTCCTCCATAAATCAACTCATTATTTGAAGCTCCAGTTTCATGAGTGAAGCTCAAGATCATTGCTTCTGTTGCTGAGAATTGTCACCTGTTAGCATCGGCTAACAAGGTCTGTCACAAGTACTTGTAAAAGCAAGCAGCCACATGAAAGAGTATAGTTACCAAAGGGGAGTTCATTTTTCAAATCAAAGGCGATGGGTCAACATTCCCGGAGACCACCTAATTTCAGATGTTTGATGCTAATTGCCGCCTCGTGTGGAAAACACCTTTCAGCTGCCCCACAAACATTCATCCTTCTGCTGCCTCCCATCGGCGATGTCAGCTTCAGTTACATGAACTTTTTTATCGGATCTGGTTAATGTCCATGTGACACCAACCTGAACCTTTACATTTCTGAGAGGCCAGCAGCAAACGGAGGAGGCTCGCTTCTCCTCTGCATCTCCAGAGGAGCACTCGTTGCAGCTCTCATCTTTCCTGCATCTTGATATTTTCCTGAAGGGCTTGGGTAATTCATGGTTCATGCACAAGTGCGGGCCTCAGGTGGTTGTACTGGGGGCAAAGTGGCAGCCAGCACTTGATTTGGATAAACTTATATCGGTGCAAATCAGACCTGTTAACAGCACGAGTTTAATTTTGATCTACACCATTCTTGAAAATGCATCACAGCCAAGAGGCTTCCAGTTTTAATTACTACGATTACCCGTCTCTAAAAGGAAGTTCTCGACGTAAACACGACTTTAAGAAGGCATTCTGGGAAGAAAGTATGTGCCATAAAGTGCTGAAAGCCCAGCATGTTTCCATGACAACTACAGCAACAGGTTCTCTGATAAGAATCATCATGAGGGTAGGAAATAACCACGGGCAGAGTTCAGTGTAATGTTATATTTAACAAGTTTCTGTGGGTGGTTTATTGTTCTGGTTGTTCCATCTTTCAAAAGGATTTTACATAACCGTCTTTTTGTTGACTGCTTTTAGGTATCTTTTAAATAAAACGTACTGCTGTGAACTGGACGGTTATGGATCTAATCAAAGGGTAGGCGACTAAAAGTTCTCTTCTGCTTTTGAAACCAATCCTGATGAGACTTTTAAGAGTTGATGTGAACCGATATGAACGTTCTTGATGATTGAAGTGACAATGTCTCGGCTTACGTCTCGGCCCGGCCGCTCCGGTCATCACAGGATGGTCGGCTAGCAGTGCCTACACCACGCTCAGGACCATCCAGACTCTTCTCATGCATCGTTCCACAAATGTGGAATGACCTTCCAAGCACTACGAGAACAGCAGCTTCCTTTTCAATTTTCAAGAAACTCCTGAAGACCCTGCTCTTCAGAGAGCATCTTCTAAACTAGCACCCTCCCTGCACCCGTCCCCCCTCTCTACCGTCCACTCCTTGTTCCCTCCTCTCCATGACTGATGTCAATGTTGTTGTTGTTGTTGTTGTTAGCCTCAAGGGCAACATATCGATTATCACTTGTAAGTCGCTTTGGACAAAAGCATCTGCTAAATACATAAACATAAACAATGTGTAGTTTTTGCCTCTTCACTCGATGAAAGGGAGTCTGGTGTGTTTGTCATTTTGCTGGAGGTTGAACGATCTGTCGAAGTACTCGTTGGAAAATTTGCGCTCCCAGGGATTTTTGACCCTAATGGCCATCCATTGGTAAGGTCTTACTGGATGATTTAGTCATGTACTGCCCCCTATTGCCAGGGAGAATACACACAGTCACTTTAAAAACAAATAAAAAAAGCAAATAAAGATTTCATGTTTTGCATTTTCTTTATTGATTTGATGCATTAAAGAGCAAGTCATCCCCAAATCAACTTTTTTTCTGATAAACTATATAAATGCATGTCTAATCGTGCTGCAGACACGTGTAGTCAATAGTTTTGCACTTTAGTGCATTTTAGTTAAAATTTTATTTTTCTGTCTAAAACTGTCAGTGTTGTGCCGTTGTCAGGTAAAAACTCTGCACCGCATTTGAATTTAAATCTGCCATCGCTATTGGCTAAGAGGTACCCTAGAATGTTAGCTGGTACCATATGATGTCACAATGTCGTTGTTAGTGTGTGTGTTTGTTTGTTAGCGGGTCCGCCCTCTCGGTCTGCTAGGCAACAGCATTTGTTGCATTTTTCAAACAGGGAGTGGGAGTTGAGTAAGAATCTGGTAGGGGGTGACTTGCTCTTTAGAGACTAAAAGATAAAATAATGTAGTAATATAGAGTGGAATAAGGTTTAAGTTTTAGTACAAACAGATGATTAACGCAATTAACAATAATAAATGTATTACTTTACATTTAAAGCTGCGTTCTATAGGGTGAAGTCATCAAGCAGTCGAGATTTTTAATATAGCTCCTGCCCCTTCTCCTCCTCTCCTGGAAGGAGCTCATACCGTTTGCACACGCACACAAATAGCGCTGTAGCTCTAACAGACAAGTACTGTTTTCAACATGTTCCTGCTCAGACACACCTGGTTCTAACGGCTGAATTATCTCCTCAGCCTTCATCAGGTTTTGCAGGAGCTGCTAATTACTTGTTTTATTTAACTCTGCGATGTTCAAGCAGGGAATTTTCTAAAAATGGTAGGAATCAGCTCTTACCACAGTAGCACACCCTTGCTAATGCTACAACCGGCTAAAAGGATTCGATGTATCGTGAGGTTAAACGCCACACTAATCACTTATCTTAAATAGACAAAAGCTGTATTTCGTCCCCCTCCCTCTTCCTCTACAGTTAGCTTACAGCCTGACACTAATTCAGTGCAGGTTGAGTTAGCATTCAAGCTAGCGCCATATTGGCCAATGGTAAATGCAGCATACAGTGATTATCTAGAGTATGTTTTATTTAATTTAAATAAAAATTGATTACAATAAAATAAAACTACTTACTTAGTATTTACTAGTCCAAAAGAAATTTTACCAACTTTTCATCAGTTTTGAGCCCTTAGTTCACGAAGCTAACGCCATCTTTTAAATGCATCTCCAATGTAAATTCTAATCCACGTTCCTAAACGTCGCACGGCGAGTTTTTCAGAAGGATTTTTAAACTGTTTAACTTTTCTTTGAGAAGTAGAAGGCAGTCGAGGAAACTTCTGTACTTTTTCAGGTTGCTCCACTACAAACCTTGGGGTTTGTCCAGCATTACCCCACAGCGCAAGCTGGGGCTGGGACGTGTTCTCGTTGATTGACAGCTACCTCTTGTGAATGCACAAATCTACTGGTCTAGGCTCGTGTAAATGATTTATTTTAATGTAGAGGCCAGGGGAGAGACTTGTGGAAAATATAAACTGTGAGCAATTACCTATTTTATATGATAGAGCAGTATCCAATAGTCAAATTTAAGTAATAAGCAACAAATCCCAGCTTTCCCAAGTACATTCAATGCTCTTTTGAGGGTTTTTATTCTTTTTTGTTTGTACTGAATTGTAAAAACAAGAAATGTCTTCCTGCTTGGGTTTAGTGATGCACTTTTGTAGAGACAAACATTTGTCCCCCTAGATGTGTCTGAAAACGTTTTAGTTTATGAGTAAAATGAGCTGAATTGATGGAGAGTAAAGGAACTATGAGGTAAACAAAATTGTATTTAATTAACTTTTAAATTAATCATTAAGACAAAAGAATCTTGAAACATTTATAAGCTTTTTATTTGTGTTATTTTTTTGCACTCACTGTTTATTTTTCCTCTTGAACTGATCTCCTTAAAAAAACAAAACCGTAAATATCACAGGTTTTTTGACTCGTGTGGGATGATTTTTTTCCGTCAGAGGCTTCCCGAGGTTCATCTGTCCATGCTGGTACTGATATTGTCTTGAAGTTTGTTTTCTTAATGCTAATATTTCCTTCGAAACATTGTTTCGTGGAGCAAAAATAATGACACAGACTATAAATAGAAAGAAAGTTTAGGAGTTGTTGAGAAAAATTAGCATTAATGGTGGCCAGAAGGTCAAAAGCTGTTTTGATTTTAAAACCAGGCCAGTTTTACACACACTGAATCATGCATGAACATCTTCATCTGCTTGGATGTACCCGGGCTAAATTTTACTAACATTTTACTTTTGTTTCCCGAAAACCCTTTTGGCTATGCGGAAGTGCAGATGAAACGACAATTAGAGTGTTTCCGCTGCCTTCCTTCCGGATCAATAAACAGGCTTTTCTTTTGTTTCTTTCTTAAGAACAACATGAGGGGGATAAATTGCACAGTAATGGAGGTAATGTATCATCATCTGAGTTCAAAGACGCTCACCCTGGCTGCTCACGTTGATGTCTTTTTCTTCATTTGCTGTTTTTTTTTCAGTGAAAGTTTCAATAAAAGTCTGCTTGCATTATGACTCATGCTGCTCTGCCCTGTGATGCTTTTATGCACCAGTTCTCTCATTCTGTTGCTCCATCCAGTGATGCCTAATCAGCTCGACATCAGCATATTAACACCACAGCTCTACTAAAATATCCACATCGGAAAAGTTCATTTTTCCTTTCTCAACTTAAAATTTAGTTTGTTGTCTGCTTGTTTTGTGTCGATCAAGATGAATGCTTACACCATGACCTGGAGCTAATGCATTAGCATTAGCTTTAGCAAAACATTGGAATGCACTTTTTTTAATACAAACAGCAGTTTCTTTTGTTCTTAATACACAACTTCTTCAAAAGATCTGAACTATTTATTTCACACAGCGATCCGTACTCCAGGCCCTTGTATTTTAAAATCATTAAATTATGAAAAAGTGGTGCCAAAAGATGATGAAACTTTGTCCGAACTTTACCCGATTATGGCACTGCCTTTAAAGAGCAAGTCCCCCCTACCAGAGTATTACTCCACTCCCACTTCCTGTTTGAAAAACGCAACAAATGCTGTTGCCTAGCAGACCGAGAGGGCGGAGTCACTAACAAACACACACACACACACAGGCTCACAACGACATTGTGACATCATATGGTACCAGCTAACGTTCTAGGGTACCTCTTAGCCAATAGCGATGGCAGATTTAAATTCAAATGCAGTGCAGAGTTTTTACCTGACAACGACACAACACTGACAGTTTTAGGCAGAAAGTTTAAATTTGAACTAAAATGCATTAAAGTGCTAAAGTATTGACGACACATGTCTGCAGCACGATTAGACACACATTTATATAGTTTATCAGAAAAAAAGTTGATTTGGGGGGTGACTTGCTCTTTAATCAGTTTTTCCTGACGTGTGGTGTGTTAAGAGCGCTCGGTCTGCTCGGAAGGATTCAGGACCGCGCCGATCATTAATCAGGGCTAATACACACGTTGGAAATTTTCGCCCTGATGTCAAGGAAGATAAAATTTAAAAATGTTGTTTAGCCAATCAGAAAGCAAAGTGACGGAAGCACACTGCACACTTCTCCTCCACCATGTTTGCTTACTTTGAAGTCACGTTTGATTCCTGTCTGACTGAGACATGTTCTTGCCATGTGGCTGCACACCACTCACAGTAGGACCAAAACTTCCATCTGTTAGTTATTTTTATGGCCGTGTGCGGAGTCACATTCCAGAAATGTAAAAATCCTGCCGTGTGAATTGGGCCTTAGAGAGACTCGCTAAGGGCCAACACAACAGTGGCCTCACCAGTCTGTAAGTAGGGACACCTAAAAGAAGACTGACTGGCCATCAGCAACTGGAGTACGTAGACATTCACTCCATGCTGCATTAACATCCAGGTGTTCTGACGTCTCTCTGTCTGCCCTCTTCCAACAGGGAGCCAGGCAAAACAGGACTGGTCCATCCAGTGGCCCACCTCTGAATCTGGCAAGGAAAACACTCCAGTGTGCCAGCCAGAGCCCAGTCAGTGGATTCGTTTCCAGCTCTCCCAAAGCCCCCAAGTCCAGTCCAAATACAACCAGCACATGTGCCATAGCCCCCAGGCCCTGGCCCCCCCTTTGTATGCTGATCGACTTACTGTTGAAAACCCAGCCACGGGACTCTTCCCTTCCTTGGACTCTGGCCATCGCTCACTGCCCCCGTCACCCCGCCAAAGGCATTTTGGCCACACGCCTCCTCGGACTCCTTTGGTGGTCAACACCATGACTCCACCTGGCACCCCCCCTATGCGACGAAGGAACAAAGTGAAGGCCCCGGGAACACCGCCTCCACCGAGCCGCAAGCTCATCTATCTGCTGCCTGGCTTTACCGCGCTGCACCGCAGCAAATCCCACGAGTTCCAGCTCGGGAACCGCCTGGAAGACACGCAGACACCAAAGTAAGTTTAACGTCTTTAACATCTGTGACGCGATCGCTGGCAAAACTAAAATGTTTCTTACCTGAATTGTTCCATCTTTGACATGTCACCGTCATGGGGCGACGGTGGCACAGGAGTTATGTGCTCGCCCCGTAATCAGAAGGTTGCTGGTTCGAGTCCCGCTCAGTCTGTCGCTGTCGTTGTGTCCTTGGGCAAGACACCTAACCCACCTTGCCTGCTGGTGGTGGTCGGAGGGACCGGTGGCGCCAGTGCTCGGCAGCCTCGCCTCTGTCAGTGCGCCCCAGGGCAGCTGTGGCTACATTGTAGCTCATCCCCACCAGTGTGTGAATGGGTGAATGACTGATTGTGTTGTAAAGCGTCTTGGGGGGTTCCAGGGCTCTAGAAGGCGCTATATCAAATACAGGCCATTCACCATTTTGTTGGTGTCATAAAATGCCTCTGGTTACCTTTTTACTGACAAATCACGGTGGGAGCGTTCATCTTTGCTCAGTTCTCTCTGGTTTCTCCGTTTGGACCAAACCGTCCCTTTCAGCAGCTGTACCAGAACATAATCTTTCAACTGACCCCAATCAGACGAATTCCCAGGAGGACACCACTGCTCATAAAGAAGCAATGGCCTGTGGATGGAGATAAGGGGGCCTTCAGGTCCAGATTCCGACCGGCCGTCTCTACGTCTGGTGCTATGCTGATCAGATTAGGTCGTGAACAGGGTCCACTACAGCCAGGTAATCAGGAACCAGAGTCTGCCTCGGGAGAGCTGCTCTCATTTCGATAATGTCATTAGACGACAGGCCCTATCACTGCTACCCTTGATAAGTTGATATTCAGAAGTTGTCATGTGCTGTTTAACGGCCACCTGGGTTGCTTTGCTTCATCGGCGCAAGGCGACATCCACGCATGTCGGTGTTCGTTGGTGCGTGAGCGTGCATCTGTGGCCAGTGGATCATAGCTGCAGTGAATAGGCTCAAACGGCATTAGAGAATTGATTACCGGTCCCCAAGCGTCGACAGACTGCAGGCGGCATGTTGAGCCTCTGTAATTAATGGCCTGTGTGTGCCTGGAAATGATGCATCTTATTGAAACGAGGCAGATATGCTGGCTTCTCTGATGGCCAAGTATCTCCGGTAATGCATCGTAATTGTTTGGAAAGCGGTGCTGGCAAGCGTCGCGTCGGAGCTTCAGCCAATGAAACGGTTGCATGTGCAATAAAACCGGCATCTGTTTTTCTCTCCCTTATTTACAAAGAAAGAGAAAATTACAATATTTCTACACTCCACAGCCACATTTATTTGGTTAATTCTTGTTTGTGGTTGAAAACCTCTCAAATACCACAACACCTAGAAAATGACAGCGCTCGCGATTGGTTCCATATTCCAACCATACCTCCATAAACTCACATTTCTCCTTCGGTCGTCATTTTCTTGCACATAATTGCTTTGCACTGTGGCCGGGACACAATAACCGGGGGTTTTCCCTCTGACCTCCAGAGACACATTTCCCTCCATTTCCTTAATGAGATATAGCCTACTGTCTCATTACCAGTGGTAATATGCCACGGCCGAACGAGCAAAGCCGCTCGGCGTCTGTTGTCGAGTTTCTCCACAGACGGGTGACTTAAAAAGTCAAATTAAAAAAATTCCCTTCACAAAGTAATAACTCATGGATCATGAATTCAAGGAGTTTTTCGATGAGAGATTGCTAAATTATTGCGCAGCGAACAATTTTCTTTCGCTTCCAGAAGATTTTGTTTGTTTTGATCTTCACCAGCAAGTAGCAGATGGAGCACAAATAAGCTCATACAGACATTTGAAATCCTTTATTTTGATTTCTGGAGCATGTTAATGGCGTGTTCAATGGAAAATAGCTTCTGTTTCCTTTTACCTGTTTACGCACTCTGTAAAAAAAGCCTGGTTTACTTTTCAGGCGACAAAAACTTTGTCTATTTGGAGGTCTGTTTGTCAGAGTTCTCATCTTCTGCTTTAAAGCTTTATGATTTCTGTTTTCAGGTGTTTTTCTCTCTGTGTGTGTGTGTGTGTGTGTGTGTGTGTGTGTGTGTGTGTGTGAGAGAGAGAGAGAAGCTAACCTTCATCTTTGTGCTGCAAATACAACCATTTGTTTCTCACCTCCTGTTGAGCGCACGCCCAAATATATGCGTTTGTGTTTTGAGTCGCTTCTTTGTCTCCTGACAAAGATTTTTGTTTTTGATTTTCTCTTTGAAATTTTCACAATCGTCGCTTTTAGTCATTTTCAGCTGCGTAAATCTCTTCTGCTCTGATTTCTCAGCTGTTAAATGGAAGAAGGTTTCTAAATAAAGTTTATGTCAGAAGGTGGAACACTGGAAAAGCAAATATAAATGTTATTTCATTTTAACGTGATGTCAGATCAGAATTGGCTTTAGGATGGTTTGGTGAATGTTTATTAAATTAGATCCTGAAATTTGATTCTTGATTCGGAAAAGGGTAGAACGCCTTCTCCAGGTCAGGGATGAGGTCCTGCCCCA